TAGATGTCTTCTTTCAAGAAGAATTCAGCTGCTCCATCAAGACAGGGCTACTCCATGAGGAGATCCATGTGCCAGAGTTGATCCCATGCAGGCTGACCTCCCTGTCTGTATTCCAGATCGTGAGCGTCTCCAGTGTAGCAATATACACCATCCTGGTCCCAGTGATCATATACAACCTGACACGGCTATGTCGGTGGGACAAACGACTCCTCTCCATCTATGAGATGCTCCCAGCTTTTGATCTGCTCAGTAGAAAGATGCTAGGTTGTCCGATCAACGACCTCAATGTGATCCTTCTTTTCCTCCGAGCGAATATCTCCGAGCTCATCTCTTTTAGCTGGCTGAATGTCTTATGTGTGTTGAAGGACACAACCACCCAGAAACACAACATTGACACCGTGGTAGATTTTATGACCTTACTGGCTGGCTTAGAACCCTCAAAACCTAAACATCTCACCCAACATGCATATGATGAGCACCCATAGTTTTAAAAAAAAGAAACAGAGAGAGGTAAGTTTTATAGAAAGCAATTCTCCTTCTTCACAAGCTATGCAGAGTAAAAGACAGAAAAATAATAATGATGTCCACATACAGTGGTTAAGGTTGGATTCACCTGAAATATCCTGTATTTATAAGAAGATAAAAATCAACGCTTGGTAATTCAATGTGGACGGAGTCTGGAAGTAAAGAGTCAAAGAGCTGGACATTTCAGTCTAGAGCATTCTGAGGACAGTAACGCTAAACGAACATGTGAAGTGAAGTGCAGACATTGAACACAGAAAGATTCTAAAGGCCATGTATGGAGGGAAATTCTCACTAGATCCATCTACTCTAGAACTCATGCTTGCCTGCCCACAGTGGGCCGGTAAAGCAATTCAGTAAGAGATTAGTAAGGACATGAGCCCCTGAAACACTTTGATTTGGCTTGCCCATCCCGCTTTGTGGACATCTGTAGCCTTGCCACGTACTCCAGGGCCCAGTAAAGGGACAAGAAATAATGACAGTTTTAACTTGGAATCTGCTCTTGGGACTTAAGGACAGAGGCAAAGGCCATGGGTTGAATCTTTAGGAGTCCGATATGCTTTTCATGATATAAACTGAGGATTCTTTTCCACGAGGGCTCAGATTACGGACTATCAATACCTTCTAAAGTCTTAATGAGTCTCGGTATGTTCGTTAAGAGTCCAAGGGATGCTATACCTTCACTGACAGCCAATCAGTGAAGGCCAGTAAGTTAAGAGGCTTGTTGTGAAGCCTTAATGACCTGATTTCAATGCCTGGGACCCAAATGGTGAAAGGGGAGAACTGACTCTCCAGGCTAGCCTCTGATCTCCATCACAAAAAAAAATAAATAAGTGTTAAGCAAGATGAACATGAAAGTCCTATTGCTCCACTTCTGTACATTCTCCATTCACCGCTTCCTCCTCGCATCTAACTGTCAAAGCCTTGCTCTGGTTCAAAAGACGGTGCTCTACCCCCGGTGCCATGGTGACTCTTAATAAATATTTTTAAGCTGTATATTATGCATTTCTTGAGAGATTTTTTTAACACAAGCTGTTTGGATTCCTCTCCATATAGATAATAGAGAAGCCGTGTTGCTTCTGACAAATTCATGTAAATTTACCTAATGACATTAATAAAAGTCCAGTTGTTCAGTGAGTACAGAAGCCCTTTCGCGGGCTACAGACTGGCCACTACTTCAGTCTGTCCTCTCTGCTTCCCCATTAGGTGAAAGACAGACATGAGTAATGGAGTGAGGATAAACGAGTCCTACAAGATAGCCCAAGCCCTGTTCCTACTTGTACAACGTGACAGCCTGCGTTAAAGCTCTGTCCCCAGCTTTATTTTAAAATTAATAGAATGGCTGAACTACGGAATGGTACAAAGTTCTTAACAGACAGACAGCCATGACATGAGTCATGCCACTGTGCAAAGCCTCAAGAAAAAATTAGATACGAGGGAACCAAAACCCACCAACCAATAAACAAACAAACCACCCACCGCTGTATCTTTGTAGCTGTGTCTCCTGATTACCAGAATGGGTCTTTGCAGTTAGACATTCTTGAAGCTACAGATAAGTAGTTCCTGCTATATCAAAAACAAAGACATCGGGCCACTCGTCCCACGTGTACACTGAGGATCTTTGTCCCCAAAATATCTCACCTTCCTTATCATAACATTTATATTGTGGTTCTGATAACATGCCACCTCTACCATCACATCCTCCTCCTTTCTCTCCTCCTTAACCTCCACCTGTCTCCAGCTCTCCAATCCAGCCCTGTCATGAATCTTCCTAGAGGATCATGGCAAGAAATATCATAAAAAGGAAATCTGATCCACCATGATTCGGGAGAAAAACAAGTCCCATTACTACCCAAAGAGGCTACTCACCTCTAACTTCTTTCAAATCCACAATAGAACTCTCTGGACTTCTGACCGCATACACTCAACCTCGGACAGCCCACTTCAATCTCTCTTTGGAGTGCTTGCTTTGCATTGATAAATAAACCCCTGGTTAAACTCTGTCTCTAGAGGGAACGCTTCCATTCCACAGGACAAGGAGCTAGAAGACAACTCTGTAACACCTGCACACAGCTTTCACTGTAATCAGCTACTTTGGGGCACCCTTATTTCTCAGGATGCTGAGTATTTGGACATGCAGTCTCTGCCTCCAGGGTGCCCTTCTCTGTCCTTTACTGTACCAACAAATGGTGCCCAGGAGTAGTTCCTTCACAAATTCTTCCTATTTTTCTCCCTCCTTCCCTAGATGGATTGTTGCCATACCAAGCAAAAATCCACCGCAGAAATAAACTTTTACATTATGTCATATTGCTGATTTATTATTTTCCTTCCTGAATTAAGTTTTTTAACAGTTGTGTCCTAGGCACTAATCTTCATAGATTAGTAAAAGGACAAGTTGGTCAGAGCATCACATACTATGGTACACACAAACTCGTTTACATAGTCAATATCAAAAGACTTGACCACAAAGATGTGTGGTCCATGAACCGACCAAAAAAGTCAAACAACATAGAAATAATTGTGTAAAAGATAATATGAGCATAGCTGCAACAGTTACAAAACAGTTTAATTCTGCTTACAGGACCGAGGCAATAGCTAACAGGCTCCAGCTGTGTATGTAGTAGAGGATGGCCTTGACAGGCATTGGTGGGAGAGGAGGTCCTTGGCCTCATGAAGGCTCCAATGTGGGGGAATTCGAGGGCAGGGAGGGAGGAGTGGGTTCAAGGGTGGGGACACACCCTCATAGACGTAACAGGAGGGGGGACTGGATAAGAACTTTCTGGTGGGGGGGACGGGGAAAAGAGATAACATCTGAAATGTAAATAAATAAAATATCCAATAAAAAAAAATTTCCCCAAGCTGGGCATGCTTGCCTAAGCCTGCAGTCCCAGCATCTGAGAAGTAGAAACAGGAGAATCTGGAGTTCAGGATCATCTTCCCCTACACAGAGAGTCTGGCACCGGTAAAAGCCTAGTCTTTCAAAGCCAACAAATAAATAATACCTTCCTTTTTGTAAAATTTGCAAGAAAAATGCCTTAATTGTAAAAGGAAAAAGTCTCTAATGAAGAGGAAATAATAAATATGTTTGTGAATATTCCACTGACGTTTCCTGGCCCACACAGCTTGCAGACTTAAAGGAGAGGCTATGACTTTCTTCCTCCTAGGCATGACGCACAAAGAAGATGAATAATACACATAAAGTCAGACAGATCTCAAAGTCTACGAGAACAAAACACAGCTAAGCAGATCAGGCAATTAAAAGTAATGTTTTTTTTAAGAATAAAGTCAATTTCAATTACTACGAATGCTTTCAGAGTCCAATATAAGATTCCAGTACATATTTTCAAAGAGAGTGTATTTTATAAGCTGTCACAATTCTGACAGTTTCCAAAACTAAATTAATCTACAGGACTGCCTTAGGTAGATTAGTGAAGGCAAATGGTACCCTGGAGTTGCATCATTAAGACCCAGCCAAGTTCAAAAAAACCACCTTGTTACATGGGCAGTCACAGAAGAGTATCTACAAGCTTTTTCTCTGGGTTACATTTTGTTTAGACTACAACGGTTTTTACACTTTTCCGAGATTAAATACCTGGGTCACTTACTGAATTCTAAGTTGTCTTTATTAGTATTTGACTTTTCTCTAGTAGTTCACTGAACGTGTTAATTATGTATTGTCCTTCTTAACTTTCATGTACAACTGTAAACGTCTAGATTTTGAGAATTTAACAGTAATCATTTTTGTATCAGTACACTAGTTTGGAAATCCCATCCAATTCATTATTTACTTTGTTTTGAGAGAAAGAAAACAAAACAACAACAACAACAACAAAAACTGTGAACAAGAGGCTCCGTTAACTGGTTTGTGACACTACTGCAAGAATATAAGCCTGCTGTCCAGTCTAGGGCAATCTTGCACCTTAAAGATTTGTCTGTCCTTCAGCTGACCTTAGTTATAAAAATTAAACTATTAAAAATAGGGGGTATAGCCAGGGGATGGTGGGACATTCCCCTGATCCCACACTTGGGAGGCAGAGGCAGGAGGATCTCTGGGAGTTAAAAGTCACTCAGGTCTATGGAGCAAGTTCCAGGATAGCCCGGGCTACACAGAGAAACCCTGCCTCAAAAATAAATAAATAAATAATAAATAAATAAATATTTAAAAATAATAGGAGGTATGTGTACTTGAAACACTCTTGGTTTCTATTTCAAAACCACTGAACGCCGACCTTGTACTACCATTTTATTAAAACTGTTTGCTAACTAGATGCCAAGCTTTGGGGTAATCAAGGTCTTGTTTTTCCATCTCCAAAGTTCACAGGCTAAGAACCACATAGCAAACATGGGAAGCTGAGTTCCCGCATTAGCGTTTAAGTCGCTAAAACCCCAGGAAGGCCTGCTCAGATCAGCCGAGGAAAGCAGATGTGGACGCGCACTGCCCCGAGGGCACAGAGACCGGGCGCGTCTGGATAAGGACTCTGTCCTCTTCCCTACTTCGCAGCCTAACAAGCCGGGTAGGACCGGTTCTTTCCGGCTCCTGCTCCCTGCAGCCCTGAGCCACACCCGTCCCCCCAGCCCACCGCCAGGTCCGAACCACCGTAACTTCCAAACCCGGAAGTTACACGTGGCCGTGCTTTTGCGCAACTTCCGGCGGGTCTTCCCTGGGAACTCGACTCGGGAGTGCCGGGGATCGCTGTCTGTTTCTGCCTCGGCTCCATCACCCCCTCCGCGGCCCGAAGCCCCCTGAGCAGGAGCCGGATCATGAGCGTGTTGAGCGGCCTGGCCTCCGAGCCGCGCACCCCGCTGTCCAGCAAGGCCAGGATGAAAAGGCTCCCGAGGAAGAGCCAGAACGAGAAGTACCGGCTCAAGTACCTGCGGCTGCGCAGAGCCGCCAAGGCCACCGTGTTTGTGAGTCTGGGTTTGGCCGCTCCCTTCCCTGGGACTGTTTGCCCCACCTCAGCTCCCTCCGAGAAAGAGGATCGGTCCAGCGCTTGGGATATTAGTCTCCTATCCTTGCATAAGTTTTATTCCTCTAATCCTGTCTACTCTATAAATGAGGACTGGAAAGTGCTCCGCCGGTAAACTTTTTTCCTTTCCGAGGGAAGCTAAGTAGTAAGTGTCTTTTAAGGCGAGCACACTGAAGGATGGTTTGTCCTAACTCCAACTTGGATACCCCTGATTCCAGTTTATTATTTACTCTACACAGCCTATTTCCTAAGTACACCCAGCCCTTAGGCCATGTCTGACACTTGCTTTCGTAAACAGGCACCGGAATCTTTCAAAATTGTCCCGGTTGTAGCTCCCTTTGACGAGGCTTCTAGGTGTGTCTCCCTTCCCTCCACCCGAAACTGAAAATGGAACTTACAGGAGGAAGCAGACTTACCTCCTGCTGCCGAGGTGTATAGCCACTTCCTGCTTTAATTGTAGGGATTTAGGATTTGATGGATGAACTTACCAACCAAGAAATATCAGGGTCTAATAAATCTGATAATAGCCTATTATCCGATAATAGAATAACTAGACTATTCTAGCCTAACCAGAGTCACCTCAGTGCTTGGAAATAGGTATACATGCGGTTCAAATACCCTCACATCTGAACCAGTAGTTTAACACTCCTTTCTACACAATTTCAGTTAAACACTAGGTCTTTGTAGATACGTCAGGAAAAGATTTGACTTTAAATTTGTTGTTCCTAAAACATTTAACACGTGTATATGTGTCGGGGAAAATATGGGTAAATCAAGAAGTCAACACCTTATTTACTGTTCTCTGTTGTCACCTCATGACATTTAAGGATGTTGGTTTCGTTAAGTTCTGGAAAATCCTATGAAACCAAAGGATGAACACGAATTTGAGGTTCCACCTGTCAAACACCCCAAATAGGCATTTCCCTTCGGGATTGGCTTCAAGATAGACTGAGTCATCAGTAAAGCATGATACTTGGGTATATGCAAATAAATGATTAATTAAGAAATTTACACACAAAACTTTTCATCCTTTTTTTTCTCTTTCTAAGGAATGGTTCTGTAAGACACTCTGGGTCAGATGTCTTTGCAAAGTCAAGGCTTTGGGCGTGGATAGTCCTTAGAATTCTGTAGTGGGAAACAAAGAATTTTATGGTGGTACAGATTGAGCCCAAGTGGTACATTCTTTCTCTGCCAAAGGCCACACTAATGGAGTTGGCCACACCCCTTGATTTGCCCAAAGTATGCGAGTCTTGGTGTACCATGTTGTTCTGGCATAAGCAAGAAGACTGTCCCTCTTCATCCAAAGGTGTCCTTGCAATTGCCCTGCCTGTAGTCGAACCCAAACACTTTGCCCTGCAGATTTTTTTTTAATAGAGATTTCTTTCTCTTTATGACTATTAATGTGTGTCACTGAGCACGTGTAAAAGTTACCAGATAATTGTCATTCATTCATCTCCTTCCACTTTGGTTTCTGAGGCACAAATTCGAGTTGTCGTGCTTGCAAAGTGGGCGTCTTTCCCTGCTGCGCAGGCGTATGGACAGCGAGCGCAGAGTAGAACACCACTTCCCTCTTACGCTGCAGCACAGAGGCTTCTTTCAGTCTAAGATCGAGATCTAGATCTTGTCCCCAGAAAAGAGCCTCTTTTTTTAAAAAAAAAATCATTTTATGTGATTATAGCCTTTTTTTTTTCTTCCTTAAAGGAAAATGCTTCTATCTGTGATGAAATTGCTCGTCTCGAGGAAAAATTTCTTAAAGCAAAAGAAGAAAGAAGGTGAGCCAGGTTCATTTTGCTGTAGCTGTTGTTATTATCATCGTCATCATGATTATTGGTGCTGGTGATGGATGTGGATGGATTATTATTATTCAGGTGACTGATTTTTTTTTCCCCCTCTGGATTCGTGCACATTTTAAAATCCCTTGATCACTTGGGGCAATACAGAGGAACTCTGAACCTGTGTAGTATTTCCCACCCAAATAACCTCCCAGTTATGAAAACCAAGGGATGAAAAAACAGTTTCTACATGTACATGTGTTCTTCCCTATGCAAACTCCAGTGGGTATATGGATACCTCTGATTCTATTCATATGAATACCCTTCAGACACCTCAGGCCTTCCACCCTAAAGGAAGAAGATCCCTGCAGGTGCAAGAGAAGCTCCAGCCATTATCTTGGTTTCTTCAAGTATTGATTATCCTGCAGGGCTTCGTTGCCTTCAGCTTCCAATAAGAACCTTACTGTTTGAGTGCGATAGTCTTTGCACATAAGTCTGTAATTGCCAGTACTTAAGGAAAATAATTGAGTTGAGAGGAAAAAAACCAGAACTTCATACCCGTCTCCTCCCATCCCTTTCCAACCTCAGATACTTGCTGAAGAAGCTCCTCCAGATTCATGCTCTGACTGAAGGGGAACCACAGGCTGCCGCTCCTTCCCACAGCTCCAGTTTGCCCCTGGCTTATGGTGTCTCCAGCTCCGTGGGAACTATCCAGGGAGCTGGGCCCAGCACTGGGGCCGAGGAACCACTTGCGAAGAAATCCAAGAAGGAGAAGAAAGAGAAGGGCAAGGAGAACAGCAAACTGGAGGGTATCTTAAGAGGATGGTGTAGCGGTGGCCTCAGCGGCTCTACCGATGGCAAAAACCTGGGAGAACTAGCTGGTTCTGACTGAGTAACAAGTGGCCACTTGTGTCTCATAGCATTCCCCGAAGTCCCTTGAGGAGCAGGTTTTCTTACTGGAGCTGCTTTGGAAAGATTCTTTTTTTGTTGTTTTGTTTTTATTTATTTATTTATTTATTTTAATTTTTTTATTTTTATTTTTTTTTATTTTTTTTATTTTTTTTTTTGGAAAGATTCTGATGAGACCTGACAGATGAGGATGAGCAGGCTGAGGCCTCTGCCCCTTGTCTTCTACCCCTGCTCTCCAGACTGCATTCACTGCGGCCTTTCCTCTGGGACAGGGAAATGGACAAGCCTTCTGAACACACTGCTAGCTCAGGAGCCCCTGCTCCTACCACTGAAGAGAACTTAAAAGTGTTCAGATTTTTAAACATATTAAAACTGGTTTGTAGGCAAGTTAGATACTTGGGCTTTTGGGGAAAAGGCCCATATGGCTGTTTCGGGAATACAGATGGCACCTCACCTACAGCGAGTGGTTCAACTTAGTGATTTTTCTCTCCTTTACAATGTTATAAAAGGAGGGTGCATTTGGTTAAAATTGGACTTTGGACTTTGTTCTTTTCTTAGGGCAGTGATACACAGTGTAATATTAGTAATATTTGCTAATGGCATGAAGCCACAGCTCCCAGACAGACCCCCATTCATGGAGACACTTGACACTCCGTAGTGTACTCTGTGGCCATGATGTTTGTTAAGCTAGGTATATCACATACATTACCATACCATATTTTCGACTTACCTCGGGCTTATGGTGTAAAATCCCATCATAAACAGCATCCGTATAAATCATTGGCTTTCTGCCTTTGCTCTTCATGTATAAATTTCCCCTCCCCTTGGCACTGGAAGGGACCTAAGTGGGTGACCCCAGATTTTCGTTTCAGTTCTGAAGAAAACATCCAAGAAAAAGAAAATGGAGGGAGGGGCTCGCAAGGTGGTTCGACCCATTGCCCTGGATCCTTCAGGACAGCCTGTGTTCCCCATCGGACTAGGGGGCCTGACCGTGTATAGCCTGGGGGAGGTGAGTGAGACCAGCACCTGGCCGGGCTAATGAGAACCTTGGAGCGGGGTTGAGCCTTCCCTGTTCCCACTGGCAGCACCCCCTTGTTGATCCATGCCAACTCTAGAAAATCTCTCGTCCCTACCATACCAGGTCAGTTTTCTCTGCTCACAGCCAACACCTTCCCTGTTGATGTGTCACTCTTTGTCAGCCCCAAAGAGATTCTAAAGGCTACCATAGTACACTGGGCTCTAAAGCCTTAAGTACCCTCAGTTCCAGATTGAGGAATCTTTTTTTTTTTAGATCATCACCAACCGGCCTGGTTTCCATGACGAGAATGCCATCTATCCTGTGGGCTACTGCAGCACCCGAGTGTATGCCAGCATGAAGTGCCCAGACCAGAAGTGTCTGTACACCTGTCAGATCAAGGATGGCGGCGTACAGCCTCAGGTACTCACTGCCTTGTGATTATTATTTTCCTTTCTTTGTTCCGTTTTTTCCTTTCTGTTTTGAGAGCCTCCTTTATCCTTGGCTTTTTAGCTATGTTGCTTACTCTAACACACTCTTAGGATGCTCTAGTCACCTTTGGACAACACAGAGATACAGGAAAACTGGCTAGCCCTGTCACACCTGTACTTCTCCGGGTGTTCGAGCTGGGGTACAAATCTGTGTTTGATTCTCTAGGTGTTGTCTTCTCCTTAAACCATAGTATTTCTATGACACATAACATAACCGTGGGGCTTAGGTTATGCGCATGGTCATACAGGAAAGATTATTTGGCATATTGTTGCTTCACCTTAAGATATAAGGATCCTCAGGCAAAAAACAGCAATTTCAGACTTGCTTGGTTCACTTTTCTGATAAAGCTACCAATCAAGAAATCTGAGCTGGAAGCAAGGTAAGGACCCTTGGGTAGGAGGACCTACGCTGCCCGTGTGGGATATTGCATCACTGTTGGAGCTCTGACAGGTGGAGCTCTGACAGGTGGAGCTCAGGACCCACATCCTCTCAGCCACACAGCAGTGCTCCACAGAGAGTACGCTGACAGCAAAACTTAGCCTTGTGCAGTGTACCATGTTTTCAACGTCTGTAAGTACAGTGCATATCCAATTTTAATGAAAATTCACATGATTGTTCATTGACCCACTTCCCCATCTAGACATGTGAGCAGGAGCCAGTTATCT